TTATAAAATAAATCATTTCAGGTGAAAATGTATTCTGTTCAAATAGTTCCTACAGAAAATCTGATTTATTATTAATGATTATAAAAATGAGGCCAGTTTTTCTACCACCTACTAAATTTTTATTTGTGTATAGCTTTATTATAAAGCGCATGGTTTACTGGGTTAAAATTAAGTTATTTCAAATGAACTAATTCATAACAATGATAAATGTTAATTTCAAAAGTAATGAACTTTTCTTCATATAAGCAGATGAAGAAATTTCTGATTAATTCTCAGATTTGATGAATGAGGTCCGATGTAAAGAATTTTCGATTAGAAATCATGAATATTTATAATTACGACTGAGTTATGATACTATTATGTGATTTAATTCAAAATTGGTATCTAGGGGTCTTTGTGGACCGACATTATGTTTTTTTTTTAATAATTCATGCTGACGAATTCTATAATTACGAAAAATAATTATTGTAAAACTGTATTCAAAAATGAAAAATATGTTTTTCATATGTGTGCCACAGGTCATATTCATTCTGTGATCAACAGATTAAAAAGCTTTCTGCACAATGTTCAATTTGTATACTAAATAGTTATTCTTGTGCAACCAGTGTTAAATTTGTTATTGCTCACTTAACAACTAACTTACGTCACACAGAGAATATGATTTCCGTTTTGATTTTTCTATCTCTGTACGAGGCTCCCGCGTTGCATACAGACAATAATTAATAAGAAATAACCGGTGTCATTTTTTAACCCCTTTTTGATTGGGATATGTCAAATAATGAAATAATATAAACCTAGTTTCAAAAATTTATAAGAATAAGATAAAAAAATTATCATTAAAATCATCAAAAATATCCCCTTTCATAATGTCGGTCCACAAAGACCCCTAGATACCAATTTTGAATGAAATCACATAATAATATCACCCCAATCGTAATTATAAATGTTCATGATTTCTAATCGAAAATTCTGTATATCGGACCTCACAAACCGTAGTGCTTGTTCATCAAATCTGAGAATAAATCACAAATTTCTTCATCTAATTTTATGAAGCAAAGTTCATTACTTTTGAAATTAACATTTATCATTGTTATGAATTAGTTCATTTGAAATAATTTAATTTTAACCCAGTAACCACGCGCTTTATTATAAAGCCATACATGAATGAAAATCTAGTATGTGGTAGAAAAACTAGCCCCTTTTCCATAATCATTAATAATAAATCAGATTTCCTGAAGGAACTATTTGAACAGAATACATTTTCACCTAAAATGATTTATGTTATAAATATATAATATCCCTCCGATTATCAACTAAACCAACCGCCACTGTTTTATGGTCTAATTTACTTCGCGTAAACAAACAAAGTTATGATGCCTTCAATGTAAGGATGTTACTCTAAGACAAAGAAGGCACTCTCATTCACGCCGGTTGGAGGCCGGGTGGACCGGATGTCCACGTGGGGACTGGAGCAGGAGGCGACTCAACAAAAAATTTCAAGTGTTTTTATAATAAAAAGTTTGACAAAAAAAATGTGGCAGCAATGCTTGGAGCCAGACCGCTGCCCCCCCCCCCGAAGTAGTCCAATTGAACTGGCATTCTAGATACACAGTGCAATTCTTTAATGCCTCCCCCTTTTTATTTTTTGAACGGGTCAACTCAAAAAATTAAAATTTGGGATAATGAAATTAATGCATGAATACTTTATTTTGAAGTGAAATTGACAGATTAAACTTTCAAGATGGCGACTGGGAGCCATCTGGGAAAAAAAATAAATGGAAAGGGGGGTCTTGTGACACATCTTTTTGAAGCTCCTTACAAATTCTTCACAACCCTAGAATATAATGTCAATATCTTCAACTACTACAAAATGGATGAACTTTCAATAATTACCTGAATACATTGACATTTAACTACATAATATGAGGTAATAAGCTTGAGATCAGTTTAGAAGATGCTCGAAATGGTTGCCTTGAACTTCTTGACATATGAACAGCAGTTGTGAAGTATTCGTCAGAAGCTTCAAAGTGATGTGTCACAAAACCCTCTTTCCATTTAATTTTTTTCCCAGATGGCGCTCAGTCGCCATCTTGAAAGTTTAATCTGACAATTTCACAGATAAAAAGGAATATTTCTAGAAATATCGATATTAATGTGTTTTTCTTCAGGAAATTATTAAATGTTCTGCACTTCACTGAGAACCAACACTTGCTCGCGACTAAAAGTTAGGAAAGTCATGATAAAACAATTCAACAGATCAGAAAGTAAAAGCACCTAGAGGCTGAATTTCGAACAAAGAAGGTCAGATGTCAATTTTGCTGAAGTGTCCATCAATAAGTTGAGGACCGCTCCGGAGGAGCGGGGCTGCATGGACATGATGGGATGGCATCAGAGTGGCATCAGTTGTTCCAGGCATCTAAATATTTTGTCGGGTATCGCAAAAGACATTTGAGCAAATGCAAGATGAGATCATGCAATGTTGTATCCAATGCCTTGCGGTATTCGATACAGGCCATAAAGTGGTTACACTTATACATATCTATCGATGAGCAGGTTCTCTTTACATCCAGCGAGTCGTCTCTTCGACCCTCTCTGCTTACATATCCGTTCGAATACTCGGTCAACTGCGGTGAGTATTCGTGTGTATTTAGGGACGAGAACGGTTTGCTCCTCAAAAAACCAATCCAGAATCGGCTGCTCGCCATCCTGCCACGAGTTGAAAACTTTAAACACATGGCAAGAGTTATTATTATTATTGGTGGAATTCATAGGTAATTGCGAGGGAAAAGTTGTATAATTAATCTATTGATAATTGAAAGAAAATCATTCCTTTTTTTTCGCAAAATACTTAAAGCAAATTTCTCCACCCGGTTGCATCAGTTCCAGTTCATTCAGATTTAACATTTGTCAACAAGAACCATCATAGAAAAACATAATATTACGTATGTATATTACATACTTAATCACATTCAAGGTGAAGGCAAAAAAATTAATTAGAGTTCCAAAAACTTGGTTTTTAATGATGATTCATTATTGTTTGTATCACATTTTCAGTCATATCCACTTCATGTTGAAAATAAAATAACTGAAAAAGTTTTCAAGACCATTTGAATTTTTTTTTAACTTTTAAATATTTTCATCAGATAGTAGGTAATCTTAGAAAAAACAGAGATATTTTAGGCACTTAAGAAGATCCAGTGATACAACTTTTTAACAACTACTCTACAAGAAGCTCACAAGTTATTTGAATTTGCAATAACCTACCTTCATTTTGAAATTAAGTGAGGCAGTTTTGAAGAATATAAAACTATATATCAGTTCAGTGAATAAGTTTGACGTTCGAAAACATATTTTGTTGGAGGAAAATTTGATGTCTTACTTTCGATTGGAAATAATCGAAACACAACTGTAAAGTTATGGATTTGCTCATATGTGATTGGCCTCAGGTAGTGAGTTACGAATCTGGTCAACTGTGTATGATGCATCAGTAAACATCCACTGACTGTATTATAGGATACGTCACATACCTATATTGGGGATATCTCTCCTATAGTTTTTGATCTGACAATGAAATTTCATATCAATACTTTTTCATATATTACGTTTCTATGAATAATATCTGTTGTTTCAATTTACGTAAGGAATATTTGGAGTACAAACTGAATGGGAATAAGTAATTCAATGTTCATATGATAGTAATCATTTAATAGAATATAGCTTTATTTCCAGGAATGACTATCACACTAACATTACATCTAAGAGCATATCATAGTAATTAAAACTGAAGAAAATAGTGTCAGGTACAATTATTGAATAGAACTGGCCGATATTTGATGAAAATCCATAATAAAACTCATTAATACAGTTTATAGTATGATTTTCACTATAAATGGTTTCACAAAAGGTTATTTTACGCTTGAGAAATCTATTGTATAGCGAGACACGTGTCGCGCATGGTGAGACACGTGTCGCGCTATTTTGTAAAACACTTTATAGTGAAAATCATACAATAAACTGTATTTATGAGTTTCAGGTATAATTGATCGAATCAATACAGGAACTTGAA